TTTAAGCAACTCTTGCATAAAACTAGCCTTGTGTCGTTAGCAGCTTTTCCACAGGCTGTGGATCCCTGAAACTCCTGCAGAGCTACCGTTAGCCTCTTTGCTGTTCCTGAGACCAATCATCTGCTTTCATTTTTAGGTCGATCGACGTGTCTCAGCGTTACAGCAATGTCTTTCAGATAATTAAAGATTTTTCATTGTTTTCTTTATTAAATCTGATTGAAATCCGGAAACATTTTCCCTTATTCTGTCTTTTGTTTTCCTTGATCTTCATCATCCTGTTTGTTTTTTTTAACCTCTGAGATCTTCAAAAACTGCTGTATGTGTGCAGGCAGTAAACTTCACACAGCTGGACTTTAACTACTGACCTGGTTGGTGGTGCTAGTCCTTTTTGCAGTCACACTGCATTTTATTTAGAGGCATTAGGGTAAAGGGGGGTGAATAAAAACCATGCACACACAACCTTTCATATTTATACTCATGAAGCTTTTTTAGAAAAAACCTTTTGTCTGTTTTCTTCTCTTAATACTCCTCTCATTGTTGGTCTATTGCACCAAATTTACATTAAAGTTTGAGGTTTAACCTGATAAAATGAGAAAAAGGCCAACAGACAATGATCCTCTAACAAATGTTCTCCTTTATTTCTTTTATCTCCATCCAGGGAGGATGCATTGAGCAACTAGAGCATTTCCTCAGAAGCCATTTGTATATTCTCGGGGCAGTGGGCGTTGGAATAGCGTTTTTACAGGTAAAGTGGGGAACTACTGTACAGAAGAATACTGGAAATTTGAAGGAGGAACTAACGGGCTCTGTACTTCTGTTTCAGCTGGTAGGGATGATGTTCACCTGTTGTCTTTGTCGAAACCTAAAGGAAGATCTGTACTGATGGTGGAAACGCTTTAAAGCTGCATTTTTGCCTTTGAATTATGTAACAACGTTGCTGTAAAGCTGGTTGCTGAAATGATGACAGTGTTTAAAATAGATGCTACAGATGGTGTAATGCTGCTGGACGGCACCAGTCTCTTCTTTTTACCCAAAGAGAATTCTGCTAATCTTTCATTTCATCATAAAGTAGGAGGTGAGATTAAACCTCAGCTTTAAACGAAACATAGAACAGCAGTGAGAAATGTAGAAATGCTGTTTAACCTGCTAGATTACGCAGCAATTAGTGACGAAACCTATTATAATAAGTATGTAATGATATAACTTTGTATATTTCATATAATGATATGATACTATTATGAAATAAAATAATTATACTGTGATATTGATTTGTTTCATCGCCTTAATTTGGAAGTATTGTATGGAGGTAAATTGGAGCCAGAAATGTTATTTGAAAAAAAATATATTAAATTGAAAAAATAAAATTTGAAATTGAACACAGAATGTTTTTAATGGAATTTTAAAAAATCAACCATCCATTGAAAATAAAAATAAGCATTCAAGTTTTTTTCTGGTTTAAATAAAATATTAATTTACCTCTGGAAGAAGAAAATCTTTTTGTTTTGTTTTTTTATCTTTTCTTTTCCATATTTTTATATTTGAGGACACTTTTTTTATTTGTTTTTTTTTTGTTTTTTTACTTTCAGATACTGTGTTTTTTTTTAGTTTCCGAATATTTGGCCCATATTTATTTTAATAGTTACAAAGGAGGCAACGCTTGTGTTTGGCAGGAACTTCACGTCGTTTTGGGACCGACAGTCATTTGTTAAAACTTTTTTTGCTTGAATGATCGGTGGATGAACCAAAATTGCAAATCAGGTAGATGATGATGAGGAGGATGAGGGAGAAGATGATGATGAGGAGGAAGATAAGGAAGGCTGGACCAACAGTTAAATGGGAAAGAGAGGATAGAGGAGGTGAAAGTGGAGAAAGGTGGTTTGAGAATCAAGGAAATAAAATAGAATTAGAAGACAGCAGTTCAGAGGAAGGAAGAGTTGCATGAAGGAAGGCTGATAGAGAAGAAATAAAAATATTTAGATTCAGTGCAAAGAATAAGAAATTTGAGCCCCATTTTCAGAGAAATAAGAAAATTAGGGAGGTTGAATTAGATGGAAACTTTCTGGTAATTTGCAAAAATGAGAAAATCAAAGCATTGGATGTTGAACACTGAGGAAGGACAGAATAAAACATTCCACCTTCACTCAGGTGCTGCAGGCGTCAGCGCTACGCACACCTGGCAGCAGTTTGTAGGGGAAAGCAAAGGTGCTGCAGCTGCGGAGGCAGCACAGAGTTCACTATGGAGGATGGGAGGAGAGAAAGAAAGCAGTTACAACAGGATAGAACTACAACAACCAGAAGCTACGCAGAAGCAGGGAAGAGAGTTCAGGGACAAAGGAAGGAGAAATGAATCAAGATCAGAATCAGGTACAAAAGCAAAATAAATTAGAAAGAGAAGATAACTTCATTGCGAAGGTAGAGAAACTCATTTTATTCTTGGCGTATGTCATTACCTGCACAGAACAAGCCAATCAGAAGGCAGAGAAAATCAGAATCATTGAGAGGAGATAAAAAGTTTCTGGGACTAAAAAAAGTTAACTGGGAAAATATAAACTGCTCAAAGAAATTAAAGGAACACTTCGAAAACACATCAGATCTCAATGGGGAAAAATCCTGCTGTTTCTTTATCCTGAAATGGACTGGGTGATGTGTTAGGAACAAACGGATCATTTGATGGAAATGAAAATGATCAACCTACAGAGGGCTGAATTCAAAGACACCCCAACAATTACAGTGAAAAAATGATGCAGCAGGCTATAGTCCATTCTCCTGAAATTTCATTGCAGCAACTCAAAATGGTATTCAGTCATTTGTATGGCCCCCGTGTGCGTGTCTGCATGCCTGACAACGTCGGGGGACGCTCCTAATGAGACGACGGATGGCGTCCTGGGGTATCTCCTCCCAGATCTGGAGCAGGGCATCACTGAGCTCCTGGACAGTCTGAGGTGCAACCTGGCGGCGTTGGATGGATCTACTGTTGAACAGTTCCGTCTGAAATGAATGGAAATATTTGTTTTAATGGTTATTGAGTCAGATATGTTGCGGGTAATGTTTGGTTTATTGAAATGTTTTTATCTGTCCCTGTATAAAAGGGTTTGGCTGACATTTAAGCTCCGATTCCAACATCTCTGCAGTGTGGGAACTATAAATCTGATATCTGAGACGATGGTACTGCTGCTGAAGCGCCTCAGAGATGTTATTAGCATCCAGAACAGCAGTGAGACGTTCTTTGCCTGCTTTGTTTGTGACCTGTTATGGTTGCTAGGTGACTGAGTGTACACTGAGTGAGGGGCAGTGACAGCTGGAGAAGGCTGGACCTGTTTGAATCTACAGCCAAACTCTTCTGGCCTCCTCATCTTCACAGACCCAGTCCAGGTAGACCGGGTCCTTGGAGGATACAGCTGCTAAAATGGAAATCAGCATTTATTGTGAGTGACAGCTGACAGTTAAAGGTTAGTAATTAGGGCACGGTTTGAGATTCAGTCATTCTCACGTCACTGCTTCAGTATTTCAGATTTCAAAATAAAAGAGCAATTTCATTTATTGCTTATATTATCTAAATAAGAAACTGCCTTAAACCAGACACTGTGAAAAANGGGCAGTGACAGCTGGAGAAGGCTGGACCTGTTTGAATCTACAGCCAAACTCTTCTGGCCTCCTCATCTTCACAGACCCAGTCCAGGTAGACCGGGTCCTTGGAGGATACAGCTGCTAAAATGGAAATCAGCATTTATTGTGAGTGACAGCTGACAGTTAAAGGTTAGTAATTAGGGCACGGTTTGAGATTCAGTCATTCTCACGTCACTGCTTCAGTATTTCAGATTTCAAAATAAAAGAGCAATTTCATTTATTGCTTATATTATCTAAATAAGAAACTGCCTTAAACCAGACACTGTGAAAAAGTCCCATTTTTGAATGATTGAATACTTTTAGATCATTGAAGTTGTTTTTGCTGCTGACTTTAAAGGATCTCAAGCAGAAGTCTCATAAAAAGAGAATTCACCAATAGAAAGCATAAAATTTCTATTGAACAAACCGGCCAGGAGATAAACTAAAACAACAGACTGTCAACATATTCAAAGGATTATTTTTTGTATAAATAATAACTCAAAAGTTTTCACACCAGTGTTTAACAAAAAACTTTATTTTGGGCGTCATGCACACATTCCTTTTTTGTGATTTTCGAAATATGACTGCTGTCATAGTGTCTGTGCAGCAGCAGGTGTCACTGGTGAGCAAAAAATGATGCATCAGGTAATGAACCTTTAGGCAAAGCATTGGGTTGGAAGGCTTCATCAATAGAGTTGGAGGAAGGAACAGCAAAGGTCAACAGTCAGGCCCTGAAAGGATGACAGCAGGCTCCTGATAAACTCCTGCCTGTTGAGCACCAACAGGCTGGAAATACCTCTGAGGATCCAGCCTCTGAGCTCCACGCTGACATCTGGTGGCCAAAGAGAAGAACAGCAACAAATTCCCAAACACTCCGTTGGCCACTACAGTCTTCCTGAGCTCTAAGAGGTTGAGGGGAAAGACATTTTAATCTGTCTGGAAAGAAAGAAATTTAATCCAAAGGTGGGATCAGGGCGGGACTAACAGAGTGAGGCCAAACATTAAAAAATGGCCGCTGCTTTAAGAAGCTTTCTTATTTCTTACTTTCCTCCCCTTTTATATAATATATAATATATTCTTTTTTGTTTCTGCATTTTTTATTTTATTTTATTTATTTGTTTTTATTTTTTCCTACTTGCTTTGATTCTGTTTTATTTTCCTATATTTTATTCATGTGAAGCACTTTGCATTGTCTTTGTACTGAATTGTGCTACACAAATAAATTTGCCTTGCCTTGCCTTGCCCTTTTCTTCTTATTTCCACTATTAGGTGACAATTCCACGAAAAAAACACGAAGAGAGGTTAGTCAGCTCTCAGACCTGCAGAAAGGTGTAGGGAAGAGGTTACCTAAGTACAACAAGCTGTCGATTCCTGAGGCTCTAGAAACTGCCAAACAAAGACTCGCCGCCCTGGCCACCCGCCTAAAGAGATACAAGGGAGAAGCAGAAGCCAGGAGTATAAACCAGTTTTTCTCCACCAACCCATCCAAAGTGTACTCGCAGCGGCAGGGTAATTCAAGATTGAACATTACTGGAGGAACATATGGGAGAAGGAGTCATCCCACAACACCAATGCTCAGTGGCTAGAAGATCTAAGAACAGATCACAGCAATCTCCCAGAACAAAAACCAGTAACCAATTCAACGGCTGATGTCCAAGAAAGAGCGGCAGGTATGAAGAGCTGGACAGCACCAGGCCCTGACATGATCCACACCTACTGGCTGGAAAAACTAACCGCACTTCATGCACGCCTGGCAGCACAAATGAACCAACTGCTGATGGATGGGACCCACCCAGAATGGTTAACCCAATGTAGTAGCAGTTTTATCGTCTTATATCAGAAATCAGAATCAGAATATATCCTACAACATGGCCCTATACTGCCTTAGCAACAAAACAGTACATCTGTTCAAGTATGAGTCTTAGCAATAATAAAGTCTCTAATGCTGTAGAATATAAATATCTGGCTGGCTTGCCAAATATGGAAGCAGTGGTACTGGGTTATGTAGTCCTGTTTCTGACCTTATGCCCACTTAGCAACAAAGAGAATGCAACATGTAAACAGAGAGCCTACAAGCTGGGAGTCACGTACGAATCTTGGCAAAAACAGAGTTCTTACATGCTGACTCGCACGCAATCAGGTCATGAGCTAAGAGATTTCCAGGAAGAGCGTCCAGTCGTGCACGTGCATCCACACAGTGCGATGGGGAGCCAATAAATGCCGCCCACAATGGATTGAAGGTTGGGGGAAATAATAGATGTGAGGACATTGAGCTGAATGTATGAAGTATTTAAGACAGCTGTATGAATTCGGTTTTGTAAATAAATGTTCCCCCCTTCGGATGACGATGGTGTGAATCGAGGCCTTCTTTCTGTCATAAGAGAATTCTACCAATGAGCTTCCACACCAAGGACGGACAATTCTGATCATGAAGGATCCCCAGAAGGGAACAATCCCATCCAACTATCGGCCAATAACTTGCCTATGTACAACATGGAAGCTCCTGTCAGGCATCATAGCAGCTAAGATGAATAGGCACAGGGCTCGATACATGCACCCTGCCCAGAAGGGAATAGGAAGCAACACCAGAGGAGCCAAGCACGAGC